GAGAGAGAGAGAGAGAGAGAGAGAGAGAGAGAGAGAGAGAGAGAGAGAGAGAGAGAGAGAGAGAGGTACTGATTATATTTCCGTGTATTTTTTCTGTGTGGCAGGAGCTGAGGAGCTGGAGGACGAGAGCAGAAGAAGAGGGAGAGACGAAAATAGAAGAAAGTGAGGAGTAGTAGTTTCGCCGCCTAGGGGCACTTTTTGTTTTTCGGCCATTAGTTCGGGGGGATGGAATAATCGTTGAAATTGTTTCCCAATTAAGGGGAGAAGTATTTTCTCGATAAAGGAAATATATATATATATTTTTAAAACTGATCAGCAGGCTGCGACGTGATTCATAGATTGCCACACGTTTTTGTTTTCGCTTTTAATTACGTGGGGTGGAAGGATCCTTATAAGGAAACCTTTCCTAATAAAGGGGAAACGTTTTCCCGAATAAAGGCAAGATTTTGTTTTTTTTAAGCTCTTACGTAGCTCAAAAAAAGGTACGACATCATACGTAGAGACTGTCACCGGCCGTGACAGCTCTCGGCTCTACCGCTCCCGCCACATTACTCCGACGAAACAGTTTGTCACAGCCCCTCGTTTGTTGTCCTCATCTCTCTCTCTGCATACGGTTTACCGGCAGTTCTGTTTGTGACGATATATAATATATATATACGTATATGTGACGATATATATATCTATATAAGGGTTCAGCCTCCTGATGAGTCGGTGAAACTCCGACGAAACAGTTTGTCACAGCCCCTCGTTTGTTGTCCTCTTCTCTCTCTCTGCCTACGGTTTACCGGGCAGTTCTGTTTGTGACGATATATATATATATATATCAGGCGTCAGCATCATGAACAGTTGTCTTGCGGCTATGGCGGGTGTGCGGCTGGGCGCTCCGTCTAACCTCTCGCTGGGCTGTGAGGTCAAAAGCCGGCATCGTGAAGGGGCAACCATCAAATTCACTCGTTTCCCTGCTCATCGCAAGCCAGCAACAGGTAAATTGAACACGTGTCTTTCCTGTTTGGGGTCTGTTTCGGGGTCTGTTTCGATTGGTACTCATGATTGTAGCGATAGGACTGGTGGTCGTTGCAGTGTGCCGCAAGCAGTTGGGGCCGCCTCATCACTTCACTGTGAATTGGTGTCACGGAGCGGAAGCGGAAGTGGAAGCGGAAGCGGCTTCCCTTCTGGTGCTGTCTCTGCCTCAGTCAACTTACCCTGCGCTCAGTCTTTGACTTTGACCACCTCCTCTCCCTGCCTCTGTTATTCTTCTTCCTCGTCCACACTTTCTTCCTCCCCATCTCCCTTTTTTGTGTCTTCCTCTTCCTCCTCCTCCTCCTCCTCGTCGTCGATTGCCAGAAAAGGTGGACATGTTCTTAGTGCTGGCTTGCAAAGTTGCTTTCTTTCTCCCTCCATCACTTCGTCTTGCGAGCATCATCCTCGTGGCGCTGCATCGGTATTACCATCTCCTGCCCTTTCATCATCGCCGCTCTGTACAGTGGCTCCTGCACCAACGGCGGCTCTGCGGGCAACGGTTCGTTGCGGTGCTTCGAGTTCTGGAGGAGAAGGAGGAGGAGAAGGAGGAGGAGGAGGAGGAGGGGTGCATAAGGAGTATAGAGGAGGCATTTCTGGTGAAGGGCTGAGGTTTGGTGTGGTGGTTGGGTTATTCAATGATCTGATTACACGGCCTCTTCTGGCCGGCGCCCTTGGGACGTTCAAACGACATGGAGTAGTGGATGGTGACGTGGAGATCGCCTATGTCCCAGGATCTTATGAAATTCCCATTGTGGCTCAGGGGATGGCCAGATCAGGAAAGTTCGATGCCATTTTGTGCATCGGAGCTGTCATCCGGGGTTCCACCACTCACTACGACGCGGTCGCGGGAGCGGCTGCCAGCGGCATTCTCAATGCCAGCCTGTCAACCAATGTGCCGTGCGTGTTTGGGGTCCTCACCTGTGAGACGATGGAGCAGGCAATGGATCGCGCAGGGGGCAAGCTGGGAAATAAGGGTGCCGAAGCCGCCGCGACTGCGGTGGAGATGGCCAACTTAATGAAGAGCCTTCGCAGTGATGGTGTGGTGTCTTCTTGACCAGTTAGTCTATAAATTGGGTTGTTTTGATTGATTGGTTAGTTAATTAGTTGGTCAAGGCAAGTAGGGGATTGTTTTTTGAGAGGAAAGAGCTGTAGGGAATGAGAGAGGAGGTTGGGAAATAAAGTCAGATAGAACAAAAAAAAAGAGAGGCAGCAGCAGAAGGGGTCTGCATGGCAAGAGCCACTTGCTGGTGGCAGTCTAATTTTGCTAGCCGGGCAACAACCGTACGGGTTGTCAGATGTGGGAAATGCTGCTGGGGTACTGGTGCAGAGAATTGAGTGTGTCCCAACCCTCTCCGTTATGAATCAACGTCGTGTCGATGTGATGATCATTTACATTTCTGATTGAGAGAAGAGAGAAGAGAGGAGGGAGGTGGTCCATGTGTCCACCTGGCAACCTGCTTGGCTGCTGTGGATAAAGGTAATTGGAAGTTAAGAGAGGAAAGATGCGCAACCTCCCATGTGGCGGCATTCTTAATGTGCCTGGCTGTCTGTTTCCTATGTCTGTTTTGGTTTGAGCTCTGACGCACTGGACTATCAGAATAGGTGATTGATAGTCCTGGGGGATTGTGTGTGTGTGTGTGTGTGTGTGTGTGTGTGTGTGTGTGTGTGTGTGTGTGTGTGTTATATGCATTGCGTGGCTTCTGCGACTGCGTCACAGCATGTTGTGCTGAAGAGTGCGCTTATAAACAACACCGGGAAAGAGCCCGCAGCCAGGGATGCCCATAGAAAAGAATGCTTATAAAGCTCAGCTTTCAATAGTCATAAAACGAAAAACGAACCGACCAGCGGTAAGACAAGTACAACAAGACAAACAAAATGGCAAGGCTGAGGTCAGAACACAACACGGTACTTGGATGACACACCGCAACAGAGAACAAAGGGTGGAGGGCAAGGGGGAGGCGGGGGGGCAGACAAACAGCACTAGGCAGAAGAATGAGGCGGGGGCAACAAGGCAACAAGGCAGACAAAAGARCAAACAGCACAAAAAAAACAGAGCGAAAAAAAAACAACAGATGAAAGATTGTTTCGTCGGAGTTGCACCGACTCATCAGGAGGCTGAACCCTCGACAATCTGCGGAATCCCCGTAGTTGATGGTTTGGATCATGAACCCTTTGACCCATGTTGACGGCAAACTGTCCCCAAGCGGGACATAGCAGCGGGCAGCAACCCTGTGGAGCACCAGGCAACATAGTAGAGGCAGCCCAACCGCTTATCACCAAAGACGACTGCAAGGAACGACAGGGCAAGCGAACGAGCAACTCGGCAACCGTGCGGTGAAGCGCAAGGCAACATCAGCAAGGCGACCACAGTACAAAGCACGCAAGCAAGTAAAGGACGCGGAAGGCCAACAGGGCAAGCAGACGAGCAGCTCGGCAACCGTGCAGTGAAGCACAAGGCACCACCAACAAGGCAACTAAACCACAAGGCATGCAGACAAAGGACACTGAAGGCCGACAGAGCACACGGACATGGAGCTCAGCAACCGTGCAGCGAAGCGCGAGGCACCGCCACAAGGCTACCAAACCACAAGGCACGCGAGCAAAAGACACGGGAGGCACGACCCGCGGGTAGGCGGCAAGGCAGTAGAGCAGCGAGGACGACCTGCAAAGCAAGCGGCACGAGCAGCAAGACCGCGGCAGAGCGCAGACAAGACAGTCTACACATCCAACACGGAGCAAAACAGCACATGACCTACTCACATCACGATAGAACCCTGCAGACTGTTGGTTCCCACCACCCGCTGTGCCAGGGGGACACTCCGACGACCAGCCGTCATCACCAACAGGCAACACAGACATCCGGAACCTAGCGGCCCCCATAAGAGTGCAGTAGGCACTCCAAACGAGGCACCACCGACTGTTTGGCACTACTTAAGGGTGCTCAGTTGGACACACAAAACATACTTAGAAAAAGTCAGGGGGAGGACAGACAACAGGAGAAAGGCCAACAGACATAAAACTGATTGTGTGTGTGTGTGTGTGTGTGTGTGTGTGTGTGTGCACCCACACACACAGAATACACAACCACACACAGACGCACAGAGAGAGAGGAAGAGGAGGAGGAGTAAGAGGCATGCCGGGGAGTTTGTCATTGCCTAATGAACACTAAATCGTGGGCAGAACAGGCACAGAGCGGAACAGACTGGCACCTATCCAGATTGCTGATAAATGCAGTGAGAAGCCAAGGAGCATCCAGCACAGTAGGCTCGTCGACTGATATTTGACGAGACAAACTAGCAAAAGAAAAGGCTAGCTTAGTGCAGGAAAGTCGTCTGGCATTTCATGAGGCAAGACAGCAACAACGAAGCCCAAGACACAGAAAGATGCATACAGTCGACATGCACAAGGAACCTACCACAGAAGGAGCCCCGTGGCTGTCTTGTCGCGACAAAACACATGGAAATCATGACTGTAGTAACGCAGGATGTCAGCAGCAAGGCTGGGGGATCTCTCTCTCTCTCTCTCTCTCTCTCTCTCTCTCTCTCTCTCTCTCTCTCTCTCTCTCTCTCTCTCTC